TTTTTACAGAGAGGAAGGGAAAGGGATAGAGAGTTAGAAACATGGATGAGAGAGAAACATTGATCAGCTGCCTCCTGCACACCCCCTACTAAGGATGTGCCCTCAACCAAGGTATATGCCCTTGACCAGAATCAAACCTGGGACCCTTCAGTCCGCAGGACAACGCTCTATCCACTGAGCCAAACCGGTTAGGGCAATTTAAATATTCTTTTAATTAATTAATTAGTTAATTAATTAATTTTTTATTGCTTAAAGTATTACAAAGAGTATTACACATGTTCTTAAGTATAGTTCTATATCAAATCACTTGTGGGGCTCTTGTGCCATGTACCATATCCCTGTCCTAGATTCTGATTTGATAGCTTTGAAGTGGGGCCTAGGCATCTGTTGAGAATGACTCAGTAGATGACCTGTGAGGGGGAGAGAACAATTATTTCACAGATACTCTCTCTTTGCCTCTATAAGAAAAACCCACACCAAATAATAAATATTATTTATTTCTGTTGACGGGGAAAAAAAGTTAGGACAAAAATGGTTAATTACATTTTTTTAAAAAGCACACAATTCAAATAAAATCAATTTATTCTCAAAGATACAAGAACCCAGTCCCTTTTTAGATAAACACAAGAGGGATAGAATAACTTAATATTTATTAAGCTCCTATTCAGGGATAAAGACCTCATAAACTTTTTTGATAACACTGAGACATTTCATTCAGTCAGTCACACTTCTAATTGCAGTTACCACACTATCCACTAGGCACATAGCAGGGAGTGGCACATATGAAGATCCTGCCCTCAAGCATGGAGGCTCAAAAGGCAAATATCAGCAATTGCTTAACAATGACTGATGTTAAAGCTTCATATCTGTTCTTTACTTTCTGCTATAACACTCTTCAAAGGTAAGTACATGTATGGGTATATGGATATGCAGATGGAGCTGGAGAGACAGAGTTGGGTGGTGAGACAGAAAGCAGCAGACACAGATAAATAGGTTTACAATATATTAGATGCCTGATGTACGAAATTTGTGCAAGGGGCTCGGCCCTCACATCCCCGGCTTCGTTCAGGTCATTTGGCTATCTGGTCTAATTAGCATGTTATGCTTTTATTATTACAGATTTTATAAATTATTTCCCTCTGGAGAAAGCAAGTTCTTCCATCTGTCCTTCACATTATTATACTGAAATTTTACAAGAAAAGGGGTCTTTGTAGAGACTCAAGAAGAAATAGTTATTCTGAAGGATATAATGAAATAGGCCCCTCCTGCCAACCTGCTTGCCCCCAAATGCACCCCCGCCTTGCCAGCCTGATCACCCTCAAATGCCCTCCCTTCCTGGCCTGATCGCCCCTAACTGCCTCTGCCTTGGCCCCGCCACCATGGCTTTGTCCAGAAGGTCTCCTGGTCTGATTAGCATATGACCCTTTTATTAGAATAGATAGATGGGCTATGTATGCCTAAATTACCATCATTCAATGAAAACACATATTTAGAGTATTCTCAATTAGTAGGTAGCTATAGAAATGGGGATTTAAATTGTGCTTTACAGCACTGTTATAAAGATTCAGGGGGAGAGGGATGATGAAGATGTTAAACTTACCTCTTGGCCTGATTTTCCTGAATTCTCTGAATGTAAAGATTCAATTTCTCCTTCAATCATAGCAGCTTCTAGGCACTCATGTAGATCTTTGAATCCATTGACCTGAAGTGGGTACTGACCAAACATTTCAGTATTTTCAAATTTTTTACCTATAGGAGGGGGGAAAGTTAATTAACTTACTATTCCTCAATGTGGCCTTTTAGCTACTAATTGTATTATGAATGACCTCTTACCCTGAAAACTTAACTCTGATGGATTATGTTCCAGAGGGTAATGAGCTAGTGTATAAACCAAATTCTGTTGGTTTATATATGTACATATGTACATTCACATCCAGCCATATATTCAATTCAACCCAAATGTAATATATGTATGTATATATGTATGCATTTATTTACTTATTCTTCCAAAAAGTTCTTCTAAGGTCAAGATACTGTGCTAAACAATAAAAATATGTACAACAGTGAAAAACAAGAGATGGTCCCTGAGCTGAGGAATCTCTTAGCCTCTTCTGGAAAAAAAAACCACATCATATATATTAATTGCACACATAATTATGAACAAACAACTGTTTGGTATTGCAAATGTTATAAAAAGTGTGGTGAGAGAGACCGCTGTGAGAGGGTAGAAAAAGGGGAGCTGTCCTAGTCTTTAGGGATCAAGAGTAGAACAGAGAGGTTTCCATAGCAAAAAGACATTTATTCTCAAACTTAGTGAGTGGGAGTTAGCCAGGCCAGAGTGTCAGGGAACTGTAGAGTATTCTTGGCCAAGGAAAAGCACATACAAAGACTTTAAAGCTGCAAAGAACTTGGCGTATTTGAAGAACAAAGAAGACAACAGTATAGCTTGGGGAAGCAATGGGGAGGTGACAACCAAGAGTTAGTTAGGTGGGTCAAAATCTACAAAGTCTAACAGCCTTTGTTACGAGTTCTTTCAGTACATTCTGAGAATAATAGAAAGTATCAAATTGTTAAATCTAGGAATAACAGGATCAAAAGAACTAACAAGCAAAACAGAGACAGGCTCATAGATAGAAAGCTGATAGTGTGGGGCGGGGAGTGAAGGTATTGAGCAAAGAGAAAAAAACTCAATGACAGATTCAACAATGTGGTGATTGCTGAGGGAAGGGGAGTGGCAAAAAGTGGAGGAGGGTATAAAGGGGATAAATGGTGATAGAGACTTGACTTGGGGTTTTGAACACACAATACAGTGTACAGATGATGTGTTATAGAACTGGGCCCCTGAAATCTGTACATTTTGTTAACCACTGTCACCCCAATAAGTTAAATAAAAAGGCAAGAAAAGGATCAGATTTATGTATTTAAAACATTCTTTTGACTTCTGTAATAAGTGGGTGGTAGATTACTAGGATAGTATTATGGAATCCATTCAGCGTAGAATAGGGTGTTACCAGTAAAAGTGTACAAAAACACACAAATTAATTTACACACACACACACACACACACACACACACACACATTTATGTATGTATACAAGGAGAAGCACCAGTAAGGCTTGATTGATTGGCTCAATGCAGAATGGGGGACAGAGGTAAGTAGGGTATCAGGGATGAGACTCACATTTCTAGTATCAACAATTGGACTAACTAATGTTTATGTACTGAAGGGGCCCCACTGAAGAAAGCACAGAGGATTGTTTTTGTTTTGTTTAAGGTTGAGAAAATAGTTGGATATGAGTCTGTAAGATAATTTCTCTAGTCTGAAGCTCTAAATTAAAAATCGCTGACTTACTGGTAGCAGGAAATCAAGGCAGTAAATGAGACTGTCTAGGGAATTAGTAAACAGGATAAGGAAGAGGGCCTAAACTGAGTCCCAAAGATGTCCTACCTTTAATATAAGAAGAGACTATAAACATAACTACTAAGAAGTACCCACTCAGAAATTTTAAAAAGCCAAGAAAATATGGTGCCATAGAAGCCAGAGAAGTGTTTTTAAAAGGAAAAATGGAAGAGGAGACAGTGGATCAATAGAATTAATAGCTGATAGGAGTTCAGTACAAAAACTGAGAGGGACCCAATGAACTTGAACACATGTAAAAAAAACCCACATTAATCTTAAAAATATTCCTTTAGGAAGAGGTCTGGGCCAGAAGCAAAATTGGGATGGTTTTAATAAGTGGGGAGTTAGCAGATGATATCAAACCCCTCTTTAAGGGGCTTAAACTTAAATAGGATTAACTTAAAAGAGTGCCTTAATTTTTAAGACATGAAATACCAGACCAGGTCCAATTATCAATGAGAAGACACATTAAAGAGGGGAAAGGTGAAGATAAAAAACAACAGCAATTCTCTGTATGTTCTCAGAATCTCATTCCTTCAGTTCTGAGAACATACAGAGAATACTCTGTTGATATAAGACTAAATATTCCTCTATTATCTGGGGGATCAAATAAAAATAATTAGTGGCATTAGGAATGGATCCAGGTTGCAGAGGCTGCAGCACAATATTTGATGATGAGCATTTTAAGAACTGTTTTACAGTATTATAAACACAAAATTAGATTCAGGGTCTTAAGACCCACAGTTAGGTTTCATTAGCTTCACAGTAAATTCATGAAAGTTGAAGTAAGGTGTTTGTTAGACAATGAAGAGACAAGACGTTAGAATTACAGTAAAAAAAGATAGAAACTGTTAATGCAGAAAACAGGATAGACCACAGTGATTAAATAAAATAAATATGACTGCCAAGCACGGTTAGAGAACTGGAACCAGTGAAACTTGGTATACTACAGATTCCTGATCCACTACAGCTAGCCCACTGAAGTGACTTTTCCTCAGCAATTTCAGGAACTCAGGGCATGCAGAGAGAAGATAAATAGCTTAATAAAGGTCAGAGAACAGACAGAGACAGTGCTAGAAATCAATGTGGGAAAGGGAGTTTTAGATATTTATACAAATACTTATAATGAACAAGGATGGAAATAAAGAGAAGGGCTGAGAGGAACTAAATGGAGGAATCAGTGGACTATAAGTTCTTTTTGCAAGGGGATACTTTAGCAAACAAACGGAAATCACCCCATTGGGACTCACTCGTCTGACACCTCAATATAACCTTACTGACCAAATCCTTAGCCTCTGTATTTTTCTGAATTCTAAGTTACAAAACTATATTCAAACAAAACTTCTTATGAATCCATTACTTATCCTGAAGAAAAAACAATTTTCCAAATTTTATACTTTGGGCACTTCCAAAAGTTGATGCATTGGGCCATTGAGGAAAAATAAGTTATCAAAAATTTATATTTTGGGACTTAGAAATATTATTATTTGAAGTGTATCTACTGACTCAGTTCAGTTCCTTATTAGGAGAATCAAAGTATAACTGGTTTGGTCCAGATTTTAAGTAATAGGCATTTAGGGAAGATGGAGTAGTATCATTCTTAACTGAATTTTCAAAAGATAGAATACAACTCTTTCTTGAAAACGAGAGTTTAAAGAATTTTATAATCACCTAAAAAGTGCAATATCCTAACTATGCTAAATTGCTAAACTCAGCTTTCAACATTCACAGACTTAAAACCCTCAAAAACAGTGACTCATATCAACCCCAGTATTCAACTCCAATATTATTTTCAAAAGATTCACCAACAACACAACTGCTCCTGTAATCCCTGTATCTCAATAATTCACAGAATTACAGAAGCCTTCCCAGGGAAAGAACAACAGGATAATATTAACTAAGTATCAATTAGCATGAGATAATATACTCTATACCTTCCTTTTCATATCTCAATTCTGTGCTTTGTATATAAATGACTAGCGGTAGCAATGTAACTAGACAGGAACTCTAGACAGAGTAAGTCAATTAAAATTAAAAGTCATTCAACAAATGATGAGTTACTATCAAGACAAAGAAGCTAACAGATAATAATATCTCTTCATTGTAATACCTTCAAGTACTCCCACAGCTAAGAATCTTCCATAGAACAACTCTACCATGGGGTTCTTTGGCTTCTCTTCATCCCTAAAGCATGTTAAAAAACATAAATATGGTTATAATTTTTGGACCTGTAAGTAATAAAGGAAACATTAAAAAAACAATAGCCTATGCCAAAGTAATAACGTGTATGAGGTGATCATGCACTTGGCTGTTACTTAGTGTCACCTTGGGAAAGGTACTTAAATTTACTTTTCCATTTCTTCACCTGTCAACTGAAGATAATAATGGTAATTAAACTCACAAGGCTGTTTTAAAGGTTAAAATGATAACTATGCAAGATGCTCTTATAAAAGGACCTGACAGTCAGTGCCCATAAAGTGCCTAGCTTTTCTATTATCACTACACACTTCAGTCTCGGACCTTCAGTCCTTATTATATATGCTTTTTTGGACTTGTTGGGAAGGGGGAAAGCCACCCTTGATCAAACATGCCTTGTCCACCTTCAAGTTGAAGGACCCCACAAGTGCTACTGTCCTGTCAGACTAATAGAGAGCCTCTGTGTGTACTTGACCTAAGGTTGTCCACCTTGGTTCCTGGTTCTTAAAAGTTCAAGTTCCTTGTATCTTTAAGGTTCTAATACTAAAATTTATTGGGCAAGTTTCCTCTGAGTAAATGATATCTGTATCCCAATCTATGATACCTGAGTGTCTTTGAATTTCCCTCAATAATTTTTTAAATGTTTTATACCCTGGAACCCCTAGTCCTCCTCTCAAGTCTATCCAGATTTCTGTAAGCACTTCAGTGTCCTACCTTCAACACGAGTCCTCAATTGCTTTTCATCTGTAGACTTAGAAGAAGGCCACTTGACTATTTCATGAATTTTTGTTTCTTCTGAACGAGTCATTCTATTCTGATTTTAAAGATCTTGCTTATTATTTACTTACTTTTTGTTAATTTCTTTTGGGTCCTAGTCACCTTATATGATCTGGTAACTAACAAATTATCTCCCCTTTTTTAAAAACAGTTTTAAAAGAGGCTAGAATTTTTCCATATCTTCAGAAATCTTAAGTCTTATTTGAAATATGTCCCTCTCCTCATTGAATCTAATGAAAAGAACTGGGCAATGTAGGATTAGCCCTTTCAGGGATCACTTTTTAGACCTTTCTGGCTAGATTCTTCCCTTATAGTGGAAATCTAAAGCTACCAGCATCTGTGGCCATAAATTCCAACAGCTTATGAATAATACAGAGGTAACATTTGGGCTCCCATATGTCTATCTCAGATTCCTATTTTATTTGTTGGCACTGAATACATTAAAGGAAAAAAAAATGAGTGCTACTTACAGATCTCTTAAAATACCATCACTAAATTTTATGGTAACTTACGTCTCCTCTTCAGCTTTCATTTGGAAGGCATCTTCTAACCAATCTAGTAATTTGTGTGTAAACTCACTCACATCTTGCTATAGGAAAAAAAACAAAAAACAAAAAACAAAAAACCTTGTTAATTTTTAAACCTATTAATAAAAATACTAAATATTGCAACATAAAACTTGCACCCAGACATTCAAACATATAATTACTCACTACTCACAAAGGTATTAAATGAAATCTTTCACATCAAATGCAATAAATATTTATAATTTAACCAGAGCACAAAATCAGTATTTCAGAAAAACAAGCATTATATTGATAATCATTGTGATTGGCTTTCATTTTAGGAAAATAAATAAATATCAGAATTCCAACTTACAAATGAGATTTCTATTTTTTAATTTTTATTTTTTCCCTTTTAATTGAGTTTATTGGGGTGACAATGGTTAACAAATTATACAGGTTTCAGCTGCACAATTCTACAACATATCATTTGTACACTATTGTGTATTCACCACCCAAGTCAAGTCTCCTTCCATCACCATTTATCTACCCATACCCTCTTTCCACTTCCCTACAACTCTGTACACGCCTTCTCCCAGCAATCACCATGAGTTGTTTTTTCTTTTCTGCTCAATCCCACTCCTCATCTCCCCCCAACAACTGTCAGCCTACTCTCTATCTATGAGTCTGTATCTATTTTGCTTGTTAACTTATTTTGTTCATTAGATTACATGAACGAATGAAATAATAAAAAATATTTTTTCAAAAAAGCTCTGTTAATGAAACCTTTATAAAAGTATGCATATCACCAAAAAGTTCTTCATTTTATAAAGAATACTGGCCTCTCTCTTAGAAGGAAGATGTGCCTTTCTTCATTCAACTTTTCAAAGGCATATCCCCTTAACATATTTGACTGAGTTCAATCGACTCATCAAAGAAAGATAAAGCAGGGTAAGCACTTGGTCTTTATCAAAATAGCTCTAAATATAAAACAAACTTTAATGTCACACATTATTCCATCTAGAAGTTGTTTAAAGAGCATGTAGGCCAACTTGCACACCTTTAAAATGTTGAAACTAAGGTCTAGTACAGCCGTGGGCAAACTACGGCCTGCGGGCCGGATCCAGCCCATTTGAAATGAATAAAACTAAAAAAAAAGACTGTACCCTTTTATGTAATGATGTTTACTTTGAATGTATATTAGTTCACACAAACACTCCATCCATGTTTTTGTTCCGGTCTCAGAGCTGGAGCCAAGCCTCAGAGCTAAAGCCGGCTCTCAATTCCAGTGACAGCCATAGACGGCAAATAAATCTCAGAATAAAATAGAAAAAAAAAAGAAAAACAGGAAAAAAGGAGCGCGTACACTATCAGGGGCGCAGGAACGTGAACTGGTGACGCACCGCACGGAGTCCCTCCCTTCCGAGAAGTGGCAACACTTCTGAATTTAGGCCTGGTCACCAGGAGGCAAATAAAGTCTCCTTTGTCTCCACATTCCCCCTTTCCTCTCCCCTGCACTCACTCGCAGCGGTTCTCAACCTGTTGGGGCAGGCACCGTGGGATCAGGTGTGCCATCTGCCACCAGGGGAGCGGGCCTAAGCCAGAAGGTGGTTATCTCCTGAGGGGACCCAGACTGTGAGAGGGCACAGGCTGGGTTGAGGGACCCTCCCTCCCCACCGAGTGCACAAATTTTTGTGCATGGGGCCTCTAAAAGCCTAGGTGGTCCTCGCGCCCTCATACATGACGTCGCCACAAGAGGGCCACTAAAAGATGGTCACCACATGACGGCTACCACAAGATGGCCACGTGCACAGCATATGTGGGGCCTGGCAGCCGCTCCGCACAATAAGGCCTGGGGGTCCCGTGGCTCTGCACAGCATGGAGGAGGCTGGTCCGGGCGTTTCTGTCACCTCGCACAGTGGAGGCGGGTTCTGGTGGACGAGGCGGGTCGTGGCAGGGGAGGGCAGTTGTGGGTGATCGAGCCAGCAGGGGAGGGCAGTGGTGGGCAATCGGGCCAGCAGGGGAGGGCAGTTGTGGGCGACTGGGTTGGCAGGGGAGGAGAGTTAGGGACAATTGGGCCAGAAGGGGAAGGCAGTTGGGGGCGATCAGGCTGGCAGTCAGAAGTGGTTAGGGGCAATCAGGCAGGCAGGCAGGCAAGCGGTTGGAAGCCAGTAGTCCTGGATTGTGAGATTGGGCCTAAACCAGCAGTCGGACATTCCCCAGGGGGTCCCAGATTGGAGAGGTTTCATGCTTGGCTGAGGGACCTCCCCCCCCCCACACCAC